TCTTGAAGTTTAGTTGGTTCAACCAGTCTTAAAAGAAAGTAACCGAGTTATAAGGAATCTCAATATCACTGATCTTTCTTTATCGGGCATTATTTCAGCTCAAGCGATATTTTCTTGTGGCCGAAATATCCCTAAAGTCCAATCTCAATGAGTGTAGTATCGAGTATTAACTAATCCATAGTTTTATACTGAAGCCGACTGTCTCACTACTTTCTAATGGCCAAGTTTGTTCAACTAAGATTCTAAGGTCAGATAGTGCTTTATGACACCACACAACAGCCCCATATTCTCCTTGATTCAACATAAAGGATACCGGTACCAACAAATGTGTCACACTAACGCAGCCATCGCTTCAACCGTATCAGTCTAAGCCATATAGTCTCCAAGATCTATTGCTGCTTACCTAAAAGTGCCCCAGATTCGGGTATGGGATCTTTTAATAATAACCCAAACATATACCCGAAAAGTAAAGCACACAAATCAGACAAGGAAATCATTTTTAAATATGATCTAGCTCTAAGGTAACCCCACAACTTTCATGAGATTTTCCCCAGCAGAATTTCCAGTTCTGTAATACGGTAGGAGAACTGACTTTACTGGTTTTGCATTTTATCTCAATTGTTGCGGTTAGAAAGAGTCGCCACCGACTTTTCTTTTATCTAACAAAGTAAAGGGTGAAAAGAACATGAAAAACTTTTTTTAAAGATTTTGAGTTCGTGGGGTAGGTTATGGAAAGGGAAGGTGTTGCACCCTTTTCATCCGTATTTATCTACGGACTCTTAGTTTCTAGCTCATATTTGAAAATTCCTTTTGGTGTAAATGTGTTTGAAAATATTTTGAAAAGACGTATTAGTGCGGCAAACTTTGTAATGTTCCTCGTTTCAGCGAGAACGTATACAAAGTATTTTTTGTCTTTGAAAATATTTAGAAAAAAAAAGAGTTTGTGTATGTGTGAAAAGTTTTTTTTATGAGCAAGCAACTATAAGCAGTCTTCCTACTCGAACGATCTTTGTTCTTTTCCTCTTTTCCTTTAGACAATGCTATCCTACTATTAGTTAGTAGGTAACTCTATCGTTGGATGTTTGAGGGACAAGCGAGGGTCACTGTACAGTCACAAGAGCAACTCGTAAGATACTTTAGTAATTACCCTAAGGTTTTAAGATCATATACTGAGGCAACATCAAATGGGTCATCGAGGGACTTATGATCTCAAAACCCAAAGGGTTACCACTAAAATCTCCTACGTTCGAGAGACGTGACTATTTTATTCTGAAGGCAACAAGTGGAGGTACCTTAGAGGTGTGTGTGTGTGTGTGTATGTGAGTGTGTTGTGTTTCTATTATGTTTATCTTTGAATGTTAGGTTTGCTAACGTTTTCTTTTAGTCTTTTCATACAAGCCTATTAGCATTCATCTAATAGTTAATTAAATAAGTACGAAAAGTAAAGTGCGGGAATTTTGAATATACGCTATTACAAGGCTTCGGGATGGGGGAAATTACAAACCAAAACGGGGAAATAAAAAGTCCTAATTAAAACTATTACAACCCTTTGCCAATTACATAATTCATGAAGAAAATAAACATGCGAAATTAAATAAGCGATCGAAGATGGAAGCGAGATCAAAACCCTAAAAACTCCAAAACATTTAAGAAAGTGATTTTTTGTTGTTTTTTTTTTTGAGAAAAAATAAATAAAGAGATTAAAAAGAAATTAAAATCTACTCATTTATAATTTATTAAGAAAATTAAGTTAATGATAAAACCAAATGTCTAATTGATTTTAATTAATAAAACCTAGATTAGATTTTTTTTTGTGTTTTAATTAAATAAAATAAATAACTTGAATATAAATAAGAACAATAAAAAAAAATCTTTGGGTCTGTTTTTTGGAAGAAAAATGAGGGGTGCAATTAAAATTTCGCTAGGCCCAAATGAAGCTAAGCCCAACAACTGGGTTGGATTTGGTGTGCACCATCTTTGGAGATACATGGTGGGGACGCATTCTTGGGCAACTGGATCTGTTCACATTAGCATCTAGTGGCCCATACGTGAGGCATATGGTACGCGTGTGAACCTGCATAACACCGGACCTGTAAAGAAAATTTAAGAGAAATAAAGTTCAAAACCTGGGGATCGAGTCCAGGCCCTCCAGACTTACACACACACTCTTCACCACCAGGCCATCTGTTCATTTGTTATCTAAAACAACAAGATAACATTATATATTAAACTCAATCAATTTATTCCAACAACAAAAAAACGCGCGTGCCGGGATTTGGATGGCCCACTGAGGGGAAGCCACGCAAGCCACTAGAGTCAACCCACTGGAGTCAACTTTCCGGTTGTCTTCTCCGGTGGGTTCCAAACCCTAACCTACAAAACAACCATGATTAAGGATCCAAAACGAGTATACCCCCCTTAAAAAATCACCCTGAGTCTAAATCCAATGTTAATTTTGGCTAAAAGTTTCTGGATTTTGCGTTTCGAAGCTAGGTATCTGATCGGAAGTGAAAATGGCATCCTACGAATCAGGCCCCAAAACCCACATGCTTCACGTCCAACCTGTTCTATATATGGCTATAAACATGTATGCAAACACTAAATCAGTTAAAAATGCATATCAAACAAGATTGGATTTAAAGAAAATATACTAAACGGTGTAACTTGTGTTGGGCGATTCAGGCATTCTTCACGCTAGTGCAAGGACTGGAAATGAGTCATGGGAACCCCAGGAGTGCAAATATGGCACGAGTTTGGATGGAGGAAGGTTGTAACCTTGGTTTCGAATTTCACAACTTTTGAATAATTTTGAGAATTTTTGAGAGCTCTTTCAAGGCAGTGGTTTCATGTCCATTTAAGCTTGCATAGTCCTGTATTTATAGAGGGAGAGTGAACTTGACCAACATGGAAAGAAATCAAGGTATTAACCTTGGTTTTAAAACCAAAAATCAAGATTTGAAAACATGCCATATTTGATAATTTTCTTGCCATTCTTGACATGCAATGGACCTGGTCTTCTTTGATGTATCTTGCACGAAAAAATGGGCCTCTCAATGGATCAAACCAAGCCCAAATGCCATGGTCCACTATTTCTTGCATTTTTATCTTAATTTATTTAATTTTAAATTAAATTAAATAAAAATAAATACAAATATAATCAATTCCATGTAAAAATGGACTTAGAGGTTCTCTAAGACATTATGAACATGATTTAAGTCCAAAAAGTAGGCCCATTGGTCTAAAAATGTAATCTTGCTCAATGTGTACCTCTTGAAATTCCTCAAAATTCCCCAACTTGTGTAACTCATAACTTGATCAATTTTCATATTTTGAAGGTAATATTGGACTTTTTAGGAATCTCAAGATGCAATCTACACCTTCTCTTTTAATTAGTTTTTCATTTGGAGACATTATATTGATGTAAGTTGCCTTGACAAAAAGTGTCTTTTGTTGACTTTTTGAAAATGACCTATAGTGTATGAGATCATATCTTCCAAATGAAGCATTATTTGGACTTGAGAATAAAAGAAAATTTGTAGGGAATTGAATTTTCTTCAAAATGAGCTTTGGTTTGGGAAAAGTTGATGAATTGTGTGAAAGTTATGCCTGGTCAAAGTTCAATTGACTTCTCCTAAGGAAACCCCAATTTGACAATTCTTGACTTTTGATGATTTGAGAGCTTTTCTTGGGGAATCATGATCAATCCTTGATAAAATAATGAATATCACTTCAAAATGTTGATTTTGACCAAATTTTTTGAAGTTTGACTGTATGTTGACCACAATTGACCTTTTGACCAATACGGTTGATTTTCAAACATTTGAACCATTGACTGAGCAAATTTGTGATGTAGGGCTTGAAACTTGACATGAACCTTGTTGAGGACCTATGAATAAACATGGAATCTATTTGAGACCTTTGCAAACCAAATTTCTTTGAGAAATTCCAAACCCTAATTGTGGGCCTTTGGTCTAGGATGTGCATCTTGACTAGTCAACCATTGGGTGTCTGACTACTTGAGAAGTCTTGAAAGAATATTTTGAGAAAAGTGAGAGGGAAAATTTTGGGGTACAACACCATCGGTGACAAGATCTAACACATCTTGAGAACCGAACAACATACGCATCTAGATCTTCCAACGATTCCAATTTTTGCCATCAAACACACTGAAAGCTTTGAACTAATATCGCTGTTTCTGTTCATCTTCAACCTTGTGCAGTTAACTCAAAAACTCACTAGCACAGTATTTCCCAAATCCCACAGAATAAAAAAATGTGATTCTCAATCACACAACACCTCACTGTTCACTCGTGTTTCTCGTGTTTCCTGTGGATTTCGAACCGGAGCTCTAGATACGAATTGTTGGTGCACAAGGAGAGATGAAAGAAAAAAGGAATATATTAAATTACAGCTACAAAATAAGGATTAATAGATACATTGACCTACCTATTACTAGGTTATTTATACACAATATTAGGGTATAGTAAAATACTAAAATACCCTCTAACAAATTTAGTCAACTAGACATTCTAAAATATAAATTATTTCCAACAGAATCTCTTACTGTGGAATATTTTGAAACGGGGTGAAATGGTAAGCCAGTTTCTTTATATTTCTCTTTAATGGGTGTTTTGAAAAATTTATTTTTTGCACATTTATATTTCTGTGTTCTTCATCAACATATTTATGTTTCTTGATTTTGTTTCGGTTTTTTAATGTTGAGTTATTTTGAAATCTGTTATCTAAAATATTTTTTATCTGATGCATGTTATTTCATTGACTATGATGTATATTTATTTGATACATGTTATTTCTACTTTGATGTGATTTTCTAAGCACAAATGACTATCCTTCTTGTGATTGAAGTCTCATGGATGCAACATGTTTTTTCTATTATGGAGAGTTTAAGATTAATTGTAAGTTGAAATTCCATTTTAATGTGATTAAGTTTTTTTCGATTTCATAAGTGCTTATTTTGTGTTGTTAGTGTTGTGTTGAGTATGTTTCGGTTGTTGATGTGGTTGATGTTGTTAATGTTTGAAAGTGATAAAGTAATGTGGGTGATGATAATGGACATTATGGAAGATAAAGGTTGTTGTTATGAAAATGGTTATGAAAAGGTGAATCAGATGGTGGTTCAGGAAGCTGGTTGTTATGGAATGTCAATGTTGTACTTTGTTTTTAAAATATGATGTTTTAACTTGATGCATTGTCTTCTTTACTGAACTGTCCATTTTGATTGCTGATTATGTTTGGGAATTCTATTTACTCTTTAGCTCAGAAAACAATAAACTCAATTGGATTGGGTTTTGACATCCCAGTAGATACCAAGTTTGAGAATTATAGGAGTATTGGTTCACCTTTGATCTTCATCAATAAAGAACAACGACGGTGTCGTGATTTGGAGATTCCTGGTGCTGTTACAGTTCCTAATTTTCCAAACTCTACCAAATGTGCCAGAGAAGATTCTATTAGTATTCATTTAGATGTTCTCACCTCAGACCAGGTATATATTACTTTAGAGTTGTGTTATCTGCATATAAAATTGAATAACCAAAATACAGTTAACCATGATTTTTTAAGTGTATATTTTCAAAACAAATTATGGTTAAAAAATATTATGTATTTTAAACATAATTTGGATGACTATTGTTCCTTATTGATTCCAGTAACAAGTTATAAAATTCATATATATGATATGATTCTTTTTCTCTCCTCTGTTTATTTTATTTTATCTTTTAAGGAGGATGTATGCATTTGTGAATTGGTTAGAAGCCACTATTTGATGAATTATTACTTCTTAGTTTGAGGAATTCTTTTTTTTGTGTGGTAGTTGATTATTTATTTGGTGTTATAACTCCTTAATTTGAAACAAGTCTCATTCTGTCACAATTATTTACATAGCATGAATGCTAAAATTGTTAATAAAATACTTTTGACAATTGATTACTAATGTTTTCCTATTATTTTAGAAGCTTATTACTTTTCTATATATAATTTAATACTATTTTTATAGTATGTTAGGATTTTAGTTATTGGTGTTGTTATGTACTCTAATTGTATGCATTTCAAATTTAATTCATTTCTTTGATTCAGGTGTTACTCTCTATCTCTTTCAGGTCATACATGTCAAAGCGTACATCTTGGATCAGGTTTTTTATGCTGGTTTTACCCTTTACCTTCCCTTTATGCTGGTTATTCTGAGTACACATTTGTTTCTGCTATGACAACACAAACTTATAGGTTAATCCATGATACTTAGTGTCACTGCAACCATTTGGTTTATCCACTTGTTCACGTTGGCTTATTTGTTCGATATCACATACATTTTACATACATACTGCATGCATACTTTATTGGAATTTTAGGTACTTCTTTCACTGACCATGAATTAAGAAATGTTAAGTGTCTATAAAGTTGTGTTCAAATCTAAAGTTTGATGAATGAGATTAACCAAATTACAGTGTCTATAAAGTTGTCTCTTTTGTTTTGTTCTTAAATTTTTAATTTTTCTTGTAGGACACGATTGTGGGTACAATAGCAAGAAATTGTCGTTGAAATAATCGGCTGAAAATCATCAAACAATAAAGTCGTCATCAAACGTCTTTCATCCCACATGAAGGGATAGGTAAACATCGAGAAAAACTGAGAAGGGAGAAATCACGGTCTTGCAACTGAGAAATCAGGTAAGGGAGTCTGTTACACGAGGGGAATGTATTAGCACCCCACACGCCCGTAGTACTTTATGATATTCACTCTTGTTATCTATCTTATGGGTGTGTTTAATCTATGCTTATTGTACTATTGAGGAAGAATGCATGCAAAAGAAAGAGAAAATAACGTAGGGGAAATAAAGTTGTGCTCGCTTGGGCTCTATCCCAATGCCTATATATCCTTTTTGAGGAATCAGAGTTACCGTAGTTTGGCTCACATGTTTTTGTTTGTTTTATGTTTTTTATAAACATTGTTAATTTTGCCTTCTGCTGCAGCTCGACCTTTGGAGACTCATGCGTTGGCACAAAAGTAAATTAACACGTCCTTACCTGAAAATGATTTTGAGTTACGCCCTCAAGACAACATGCCACGTTTGATTGGTTTGTATTTTGTTATCTTGAGAAAGGGTTTAAGTGTGACTATGATTCTTAATGATTTGTTAAGTAAAAGAAAGTTTTATTTTTAATGCATATGCAAAAAGGGGAAGAAAAGAGTCTAAGGGAGACTAGCCTATTTCTAATCCTAATGTTATCATACAATGGTGGTCCTAAGGTTTAGATTAACAAAAGAGAAACGTCTACCTAATGTTAGCTTGCATGGTTTGCAACCTATGGTCTAACTTGCATTCGAAAGGAGCAAGCACATCCTAAGGGAACATGATATAGAAAGCAGGTGAGTAAACAAGTTCGAAAGAGCACACACATAAAATGGTAAAGAAAATAAGCGAAATGCTTTAGTCAAGGGGAGCGTATCACCCGAGACAAACAAGTGGGAATGAAATATAAAAGAAGAGAAATGATTTAGATAAGGGGAGCGGATCACCCGAAGAAAAAAAGCGGGAATGAAATGAAAAACAAAAAATATGATGTCCAAAGCGATTGAACATCTAACCAAGATATAGAAGATCGAGGTAGGCGACAAAAGACAATATGAATAATCACGGAGTGTCAGCATCGGCCAATGCAAACTTCTGACAAACTGTGGGGGTTTGATTGTGAAACCCTTTTCCAATTAACGACTTGATATCGAGATTAAGCACAATTCTGAAGCATCATGGTGCGTCACGAGCAGAGGATGACACAAATGAAATACGGGGGTTAATTACGAATCCTTTCCGCTCGCCTCCTTTTGAGGACTTCAATAAGGGATGTGGGAGTAGTGCGGGTACAAATGTAAACATACGTGCGAAATAACTACTTCAAAGGTAGGGTTTTAAACAAACACAAATAGCATACAGAAAGTGGTGCCTGCTATAGGACTTTGAACAGTTACTTCGAGCACACGCTCTTTTTTTCCTACTTCTCATGATATCTAGAAATTAGTAAAGAAATGCGATAAAGTGCAGATAAATATAAAAGCAGTAGCGACGACTACCAAAAGCGAGCGGATCATCGCAAGCGGACGGAAGCAATGGGGAAGTAGGGAATACGCGTCGAGCAAGCTTCACCGAGAAACAAACAAAGTCAAAAACGATATCCAACTAAGATAAAAGCAAACATGTATTGCAAGTGCAACACACAAAAGTTCCTTCACAAAGTATCACAAAATATCACATGTATCTGCACAACATATAATATGATATGAATTTTTCAGGATATTGGGAAATAAGGCGTGTCGCATCAGAAGCGAGCATAAGCTACATATTTTGATCACATAACAACCTGTTATATTACATGATTGAAAGCACCAAAATGTACCTTGCACAATGAACAAACGTGTCAAAAATAACGAGACACAACGGTGTGAAAATCTGAATAAGAAACCTAAAAGAAAAAGTATTTTTTTTGTTAGTTTTTTATGTGAGGAAAATTCTATCGAAAACTAAAGAATTAATTCCTAAAATCAACTAAAGAGATCTAACAAATTTTAATGATTTTATACTTTTTTATCATAACAAAAATATAGAAAAAATTAAAAGAAAATCCTAAAACAATTAGAAAGAGTCATGAGGGTGAAAATTGAAATCCAGGAGGTGTGGTAGTAACTCAGGCACAGGCCCGGTCAGTAGAGTCAAGTTGTTTTTGTTGAGGCTCCAAGTGTACAAAAAAACAATGTAGTGGGCAGGCCGAAGGGTGCAAGCAATGAATGGCCCAATCTCTCTTCAGTCCAAACAATAATCCAGATTTTGTTTTATCATCATTTATTTATTTGAAAATTTTAAAAGAGAAAAAACAAATAATGAAATTGAAAAACGTGGATTAGGGTTGAGAAGTGTCTATTTAACTTCTTCTTCCTCACTCAAAAGGTAATCCGCCGCGGCTCTGTCATCTCACCTCCACCGCCGTCTCCGATCAACAAGACATCGTGTAGCCGTGAAAGCATACTCCTCTGTTTGTTCTTGTGCTTCAACACATCGCGGCTGCGGCTCTGTCATCTCGCTCTCCTCTCAAATTCTCTCACCGCGGCGGCCAAACACCTTTTCTCTTCTTCACCATCTATTTCACGAATTTCCGCTCAATTCAATCTTCACATTTACAGCACAAAATAAAAACTTAGAAAGACGAGGAAGGCTTACTGGTCGGAGGAAGCGTCTGAGGTCTCTTCAACCGCGGCGTCTGCACCCTTCAACCTGCCTATTCCGTTTTCCTCTTCTCTACGAGTTGCTTTTGCGAGTCTTCTTGTTTTGCGTTTTTGTCGCTAACAAAAAAAACCCCTCTCCTTCTATTATGTTCTTCTTGCTATGCAGTTGAATTATGGTTGTGATGTACAACTCGTGATGTTGAAATTCATGATGTTGTTGAAATTATTGTTGTACGTTGATGGAAGATGAAGAAGATGCAGAGATACAGTGTGAAGTTGGAGAAAGAATGAGGTTTAGGCTTGGAGAGTGAGAGAGTTTGAAGGTGACAGTTGCAAGTTCTCAAAGTGACAGTTGCAGGCGATCAATATGGTAGTGAACTAATTTATTTGGAAACTGGTTAGTTGAAAATGCTAGGAAATCTGTTAGTGTTAGTTGATGCAGCTCCATGGCTTATATGATGCTAAACTGGTTTATGGTGATTTGGTCGACAGGTTAGTGGGTTTTGTGTTTCTGATCAGAGCAACCTATTAGGTTTTAGTAAGCTGTACATGAACTGTTAATGAATGGCTTAATGTTTTGGTTAATGTTTTTTTTTTTTGCATTGATTTTCTATGGACTACTCAGGCTGATGTAGGGTTGGTTTGTGAGCTAATGTGTGAAACATTGGTTTTGTTTTGATGAAGTTCAAGCTATGAACTTGGAATGAAGAGGATTGCAGCACGAAGGGCATGAAGTTGGAAGATTAGTCATGATGATGGAAGATTTGAGATTAGTGTTAAGGCATGAAAGTTTTGGAGGCACGAGGACACATTAGAGATTAGGCCTAGGATAAGTTTATCATGTAAATGGCTTGATGTAATCTTCTTGATCTTTGTGATGTACTTAAATGGCAATGTAAATTATGACCTTTGATGTAATGAAATCCTCTTCAATCATTTCTCCTCTTTCAATTTAGAATACATATCCTCAATCCTCATTGATTTTTACCTTTTGCTCTTGAATGAAGTGACTCTTGTAATTTCTTGAAAATTTGAATGAAATTGTTTTAAAAAAGCCTTTGATCGATATTAAATGAAGTTATTTAGTTTCTTGTATATGGATGACATTTGAATAAATCTTGTTTGACTACAACCATCTTGAATTCAACTTGAATCTAGCTTAATGCCATGAACATGTTTTGTTGATGTTTTATAAATTCACTTGTTCTTCAAGAAATCCAAGTGCATTTCCTACTTTGCGAATTTTAAACAAATTTAACACATGACATTAGGTAACACCTCAAATGATTCTAAATAATGAATCCATAAGAACCAAACCAAATCAATCTCGCCTCCTTTCCAAAACTCTTTAACTTCCATTTTAAATCCACCTTTTGTAATTGAAACAATAAATAATAACAATGCTTTGATCACATTACACGTCCACAACATCACCTTTGTGCCACGATTTAAACCTTGTAATTCACTCCACAAAGACACCTCAATGGATAACCAATGATCTTGAAGCAAATGTCATGAGGAAAACTTTGTGGGTAGGAACAATTAGAAGCATATGAGTGATGATGATCACAAAACCCTGAGATTCCTTGAGATGCACCTTGATGGCTTAAAAGCCCGTGATGAAGATGTCCTTATAGCTTGATAAGAAAGAAGTCCACAATAGCCATACATCCAAAACATAATTGCCGAAGAAACCAACTGATCCAATCCTGCATGAAGATGAGAGTATAAAAGCACAGAGAAACCCTAATTCTTCAATATCCTTGATCCCATGTTAAATTTATTGGTTAGTGATGTATGAGGTGTTAAGGTAGGACAGATTTGAGGCATTACAGTCGTTTCTACGATATCCTAGGTATGCACCCATTTGACAATGTATATGTTTGGAATGTGTTTCAATTTTGCAGATTTTGTCGTAAATTGAACCTTTTCTTTATGAATGGACGTCTAATAGTTGTGGAAGTGTTAGTGCGGAACATGGCGTGGGACTAATGAAAGCTAATGAAATTTTCTATAGTAAATCGCATGAAACGATTAGTATATTATTGACTCTATGTCGAAGTTAAATCTCCATTTGAGAGTTGTAAACTTGTGAATTATATCAAAATTTGTTTCAAATTGGAAATAGGTAGTAACTAGAGTATTTGGCTAGAACATTTGGAGTTTTCTGTTTGAAGGAATATGGTGTGATTTCTATACCTGAATTTACTGGCCAGCATTTGGCTAGAGCATTTGATAGATGTTAATTATCCTTTTTTCTGCAGAAAAAAATTACTGGCCAGTATTTGGTGTTGCTACACTAGCAGCAAAGACGACATTTCCTTCATGGCGTAACACTCTGATCACAAAACGCAGTTCCAGGAGCTTATATTCCGAGATAAATGGTTAGCAGTTAGCACTTTACAGTTTTCAATTAATTTGACACCATATGAGTTTGGAGTGAGAACATTGGCTCAGGAATATGGTGGGTGCTTTCACTGTTTCAGGAGATGTTGTCTCTTTTTTTGGTGCAAATTATAAGGATCAGAGATTATACAAACAATCCATATCTAATATAAAATTGTAGAAATCTTATAACATAGCTTAAAATGGATTTTCATAATTTTGGTCATTTGTTCCAAATTTAACATTAAACTGATGCACCTATGTTTGTAGATAATGGATTCAAGATCAACGTGTTAGTGTCGTATCGACGTGTTTGAGTAACATTGGCCATGCTGCATGTAATAAGCTTCATTTAGAAAAACTGTATTTTTCTGAAACTTATTTATCTTCTTATTTGAATTGCAATCTCTGATTTTCTATGTTGTGTTTAACTTTGGATGGAGGGTGTCTTATCTCATTAGTGATTCTAAAGTCATGGATTTAATGCTTAGAATGTTAAACTCGAATGACTATGCCCTTAATGACTTATTTTTCTGAATTATTCTAGACCCTTCTCTCTATTTATTTTCACCAATGTGATATAGGAAAATACACTTGCAGTTTCCACTCAAAATAAAGAAGTAGATGGCGCTGCTGTTGAATATGCTGTCAATGAGGCATAATTGAAAGTTAATGTTGAAAAGGAGATTGAAAAGCAGATGGAGCTATTGTTGAATATGTTGTTGCTGGTCTGATTGGACATGTAAAGGTTTTTCATCTGTTTTTTCCATTGATGTGTTGTTCAACTGCTATTCAACTAACTGGATGGAAATTCCATGTATGTATGGAGGGTTGCAAGTTGACGACGAACATAGTTGTGCGGATGCGGTCGAATGGAGTGATGAGCTTGGGTGTAGACTATTAATTTCGAAGACGCACTTGCGTGGAGATGATTATTGCCCGTCAAAGTGGATATACATTAAGATATTTGAATGGCAATGAGGTAATCTTCAATTTCGGCGGCTGAACTTATGCATTGGGTCCTTACCGGTTCAAACACTTTTTTGTTTTGAGATTTGTTCAATACAAAGTTATTTATACCATTTAGTGAATCTAACTGTCAAAAATATAGGTGCATTGGTACAATTGTAAGTCACTTTCAAAATGATATGTTTCACATTGGTACCTTTCTTTCCAATCCTAATGCTCTTCTGTCCTAGCTATCTTTTACTTCTCCCTCTATGAGAGCAAAGTTTGTCCCTCTTTTTTGTTTTTTACAAAGAAAAACTGTAAGGGTTTGCTTTAAATAGTCTTTTGCTGCCGAGTGCTTTAGGTTCTGTAGGTTAAATCCTTGTCTGACTGTATCTTACTCACCAATGGCCATGGTTGAGTCACTGAGATGGAATAAGAATAAGGAGAGAGTGGAGGTAACTATTGGAAATACTTTATATTTAAGGAATATCTTGTTGACTAAGTTTGTTAGAGGATATTTTAGTAATTTATTATATCATAATATTTTGTATAAATAGTCTAGTAGTAGGTAGGTCAATGTATTCAGTACTCCTTATTTGTAGCCGTCATTTAATATATTCCTTTTGTTTTTCAACTCTCCTTTGTGCACCAGCAATTGGTATCTAGAGCTCCAGTTCTAAATTCACGGGAAACATGAGAAACGCGAGTGAACAGTGAGGTGTTGTGTGATTGAGAATCACATTTTTTCTGATTCTGTTGGATTTGATAAACACTATGTGTTAGTGAGTTTTTTTAGTGAACTACACAAGGTTGAAGATGAACGGAAACGGTGATATCAGTTCCAGACTTCTAGTGTTTGATGGTAAAAACTGGAATCGTTGGAAGATCCAGATGTATGTGTTGTTCGGTTCTCAAGATGTGTTAGATCTTGTCATCGATGTCTATGCTTCGTTAGCAGCAGACGCGACAGAGGCACGGAAGACAACGCAAAAGATGATAAAGAAGAAAGATCAGAAAACAGTATTCTACATCCATTAGAGTGTGGATGCGAATGTGTTTGAGAAGATTGCTGACTCTGAAATAACAAAGGATGCGTGGGACACACTGGTCAGATGTTACGGTGGTGACACATCAGTGAAGAAGTTGAAGCTTCAGTCTCTCAGAAATCTGTATGAGAATTTCAATATGAAGGACAACGAGAAGGTTTCTGAATAAATCTCTAGAGTGATTATGATCACTAATGAGATGAAAGCTTGTGGAGAAACTCTTTCTGAACAAGTAATCATAGAGAAGGTATTGAGATATTTAACTTCTCAGTTTGGTTACACTGTGGTAGCAATTGAACATTCTAAAGATCTGAGCACCATGAGAGTTGAAGAGTTATAAAGTAGTCTAGAGGCACATGAGTGTCGTATGACTGAGAGAACTTCTGAGAGGGAAGTACAACAACATGCTCTGAAAGAAACTTCTAGTAAGAAGTATCAGAAGCAAACTTGGTCAGAAGCCAGAAAGAAAACTAATGGTGGTCAGAGGTCAAAAGCTTCAACCTCTGATAGGCATAAGAATGTCCATAAGGGAAAGGAGAAATCGGATAAGAAGAATGTTCAGTGTTATTGTTGCAAGAACTTTGGTCACTATGCCAAAGATTGCTGGTCAAACAAAGAAAGGAAGTTAGAAGAAGCAAATATAGCCAGAGAAAAGTCTGACGATTAACCTGTGCTATTGTTGGCTTCTGAATCTGATGATAAGAATTCATCAAAGTGGTTGTATATGAACACAGGATGTTCCAACCATCTTACTAGAAATAAGAAATGATTGGTTGATTTTGATTTTGGGAAGAGTACAAAGATCAGATGTGTTGATGATAAATACCACAATGCAGAAGGTATGGGAAATGTCAGTCATTCTAAATAACGGGAAAGTGATGTCCGATCGACCTAATGTGTCTAACGGTATCTTAACTGCAAGTGTAAAGCCTATCGCGGTAGTAATAAAAAGATGTTGAACCCACAAGGACTTTGTAATCACTCTAGTGCTATAAAGGTTTGCTAGTTTAGCTAAGGCAGATGTTGTCACATTTGGTTGTTTAGAGGTTAAGGTAAGGGAAAAATAAATCGAATTAAGGGAATAATAATAATAAAACGGTCAGTATGTAATGTAGTGAACCTAAGTGGATCTAATCGAACCTAAGCGTATAAAGATGTTTGACTTAGATGGTCTGTATAAATTATCAGTTTAAAAACCCTCAACTCACACTCTCGTGGTCTTATCTCGGATTATACCCCTAAAGCCCTATGCATGCTCTCGCTAGCCCATAAGTGTTTAGAGAATACTTTTTGAAAACTTAATAAAATCTAATTCGTTTTAAAACGCTCTCGCTGTATTTAAATCAAATGC